CCAGGGGGAGGGCCTTCTCGGTGGGAGCTCCCACCCTCTGGAACGAACTACCCCCAGAGATCCGGGTGATCCCGGATCTCCCTTCCTTCCGCCGCGCCCTTAAGACATGGCTATTTCAACAAGCAGGACTGGCCTAAGGGGAAATTTTTAGCGGGGTTTTAAAAACAATTTTAAATTAACATGGCCAAATCTAATATTTTATTTTAATTCTGATGATAGTTTTGGGGTAGTTTTGTATTTGTATTTTATCAGGCTGTCAGCCGCCCTGAGTCCGCAAGGAGAAGGGCGGGGTAAAAATTCAATTAAATAAAATAAATAAAATAAATAAATAAAATAAATAATGCATAGAGAAATACATATTTGATACGAAACGAATGTGCTAGTTTGCCCGAATTTTGCTTAATATCTTTTGCAGAGTCAAACAACTGTACTTCATGCAAATAAACTATAGTTAAGCAAAGTAAAGGCTTAATTAGATCTGGAGATCTGCAGGTGACCATTGTCCACATACTTTAACTCTTCTACTAACCAGAACAGGAATCCTCAACCTTGGCCACTTTAAAGACTTGTGGACTTCAACTCCCAGAATTCCCCAGCCAGCTGGGAGTTGAAGTCCACAAGTCATAAAAAGGGCCAAGTTTGAAGACCCCTGAACTAGAAAAATGTTTCCAACCCTGGCAACGTGAGGGTGTGTGGACTTCAACTCCCAGAATTCCCCAGTCAGCTCCTCATATCCCCTGGCAACGCCAAGACGCGTATGGGTCCGGGGGCTCCGGCCTATCCAGAGGCCTAAGGACCGGGCAAGGGAGGACGGGAGGCGCGTACTCCGCCTGCCTACCCACCCGGTGCCGGGCACGCGGCTCCTCTTGGCGGCCGCGTCGCCCTCCTCGGCCCGCGGCCGCCGCTTCCGAGCCGCTCCGCCGGATTTCATGGCGGCATCGCTTTCGCTTTCGCAGATTTCCAGATTTCCGGTGCATGGCCACGCCCCTTCCTTTCCTGGCCGCGCCCCCCGGCAGTGTGTGAAAACATGCTTAGAATTCCCAGAGGGGAAGCAAACAAACAAACAAAAGGTCTCGGGTCATAGAGAGGAGCTGGTCCTCCAAGATAGATGGGCGTTTTCCCCAATGAACCCTCAGGATGCCTTGATTCTTTGGGCCTGCAGTACTTCCGTCAGCCACCAGGGGCAGAACGCAGGAAACGCTCGATGTTTTTTTTTTCCTATTTTCCACATTAAAACCCAAGCCTTGCAGCAGCCCTGACTTTGATTTTTAAATTCAATTTCGTTATTATTTTTGAATAAATAACTCAAGGCGATGAATGCACCTAAATAATACACTTCCATCCTATTTTGCCCACAATAGGAGTTTGCCTTACTATTCCCCATGGAACCTGCAGTTACACCCATGAGCCACCAGGGGCAGCATGTGCCATAATTAAACACAATATCCCATTTTATATGATATAAAACAATGGTAAATGGCTATATTTTCTCCATGGAGCCTGGAATGTGTGAACTGAACCATCCGGGTCAGTGTATTCTGTACTTTCAATATATATTGCCCCATTTGGGTCTGGAATACCCCAATGGGGCAGTGCAATATGGGTGTTGTATTGCAGGCACCATAGCGCGATTAATGGATTTATTGTGCAGTATCCTATACAGCACATTCTAGGTACTGAAAGCTTAACAGTGGAAAACAAAGAAACGCATGAATCGTTTATTGGATGGGTATGTTACCCATCTTGCTTAGAGGCCATTCAATGCCTTGGTTGCTCACTTGGGTTATTGCAAACACTCCAGGATGCCGTATGTCCAGTGTAGTCCATTATATTGCAGTATATAATATTCCCCACTAAGCCTGCTTCAAAATCTAAGGGATTGGTTTGGACAAAACTCAGCAGCACTTTTTCGTGCGGCTGCTGATAAAAACAGGATCGCCAACGTCCGATAACAGATATGGCACAAGAAGCCTGTAATAAGTCATATAGAGGGCAGTATATCCTATATATTGCTTTATATGTCCCACTGAGCAGTACCCATCATCTATGCATATTACACTCAGTTGCAACCAAGCCATTACAGAACCGGCTTGGTTGTGATTTAATCCTGCCCGGACCCAGCCACGGTGGTTTATACCAGCGGTCCTCAACTTATGACCACAATTAGAACCAGAAAAAACAGGCCTCAGTCCTTGGTCTTAAGTTGAGGGACTCATGGAACTGAAAGTTGACACTTGAGAGCAACTAAATTTCATTTTTAATGTGTGCCGTTGTGTCCAAAGCGGAAAGAAAATGACAATAAAGGTTATCTATCTATATAAGTGCTTTGAGTTCTGTCATGGCAGTCATTAAGTGAACACTGTGGCCGTAAGTGCAAATCCATTCATTTCAATGGGTGCTTTTGCTGGAAACTGGCAAAAACATGAGTCATGTGACTGCAGAATGTTTGTGGTCATAAAGAAGACCAGCTGCCAAGCACCCAACATGCAGTCATGCGATCATGGGTATGTTTGTGTGACCATTTACAAAGGCTGAAGATTGTGTGCGTGCTTTATGGGAGATAAAGCACCGATTCTGTGGCCGTCATAAATGCAGATAAAAGTCGAGCACTGCATAAAGCAAACCCATTGAACTACAGAGCATGGTTGAGCATGCCACAGCTTAGCTAGATCTTCCTGGCTCCACACGTGTCAAGGCTAAAACTTTTGTGATTATAATTCATCCACCCTGTTAAGTTGTTGAAACACTTCAAAGTGATGCATCATAAAAGACTCAGGAGTTTGTATATAAAGTTCGTTTTTATATAAAAAAAATCACTAGCCAACATGAACTTTCATTAACATTAATCTCTTTTTTTAAAAAACCACCTCTTTGAGCAGGTCCAATATTCCTCAAATTCATGCAGTCTTCAACACAAGCCTTTTTTAAATCTTGGTAGACAGTTCATGGAGGTATAATTCTTTGAAAAAACACTCCCCCCCGGCCCCAATTGGACAATACAGCAAATAACAAAAACCATTACAGTATTTTGGTGTCTCCTGATCACATAAAAATGGGAAAAAAGTGGTTGGTTTTTTTCAATGAAAAAGTGATTAGTTTTCTTCAAGATCATTCAAGCCATATTGCATATTTGACACCCTATGGGCTCTTCCATAGAACGGATCTATTATTTTTTAGGGTTTTGCAAAATTTCCACCCTATTAAATTGATCAACATGGGTGTAATTTCCATCACCAGCTCAGTCGCAAAGATTGTGTTCTTACTGTACACTTGAGGACTTCATGACAGCAAAAATAACGCATTTAACGTTGCTAGTTTCTGGGCAAGATCTGTTTAACTTGGACATGTTTTAATCTTGTATTTTAAATTTAATGTTTTTTGTATGCCTTATTTTAATTGTGATGCTCCTGACATGAGTAAACAAACAAATTTGGGTCACAAAGCCTTGCTCCACATCATACGGCTGTCAACACAGTTGTGGGGCCAGTGGATACAACTGCCTTGAATTCTTAGGAGGAAAGGAACAGGTAAAATCAGAGAAAGTAAGGAAGCGAGCAAAGAAAAAAAGAACACGATGACAAAGGAACATGTGGGAAAAAATGTTAAGGAACAGTATGCAAAAATGGGGACAGGATGCATTTGCTAAATAACTTTATGACACTAGTCCATAAGCGATATCTGTTATTTTGAACAGAAAGGCAGGAAACATCGTCAAACACATCGTCCAACGGTGGTGTCCTATTCACCAATGACTGGCAGGATCCCGTTACAGAGCAATATTTCTCAATTTTAAGATGCATGGATTGCAACTCCCAGAATTCCTTGCTGGCTGGGGAATTCTGGGAGTTGAAATCCACATGTCTTAAAATTGCTGAGGTTGAGGGATGCTGTGCTAGACCATCCTTCCCTAACCTGGTGCCCTCAAGGGTGTAGCTCAGCCACTTGGAAAAAGAGGTCACGT